ATTATATCGCTACTGCTTCCATGCTAAAAGGGTTAATAAAGCTACTCTAACATGACTACTTCTTAGCCTACAATACTTTTTGAAAGGCAACGAAAGGCACGTAGGATCAAACATATTAATAGAATCCCTAACCTATGGTTGGAAACCACTAATATATCTCGCTACTAACTAATCCTTCACCTTCTATAATTTGTTTCGGGCTAGCAACCAGGTAGAACTCTCTCGTATAATAATCTACTGATCCGTCCCCTATCTCAAATCTTGTAACTGTTGGTACATTATCCTCTAGAAGTTATAAGGTTAGAAGGAAGTATGCATGTGCTTTTTAATTTTTCCTAAGAATTAATCTTAGGTTTACCTATCTTGTTTTTGGTCGGTTTTAGTTGCTCCCACCAACTCGTTGCTCTTTTCCTAAATCGATGGCTACTAAAGACACATATTTATCCTTAGAGACCTCTTTAAATTTTAGAATCTCCTCCACGATCGACAACCATTCCAAGAACTCTTCTACTAGGAAGGTATTATAAAATTTAGGTATCTCGGTTCGCATACCAGCTTTCCATCTCCTACTATCATAATCTCTCATAAGGATCCTCTATTACTTGTATGGAACATTTCTTTATCCTACTCATTATCCATTCTAGTATCCGGTGCTTCCTAGTTATGATGGCGAGGCCTAGTTCCGATGGCCTCGGCCATGTTCATCATTAGTGCACCCATCCGTTACCACTAATGCCCCTATTTGTTCGGTCAACTACTATAATAACTATTTCATCCCATCATTTATCTACTCAACTCACTACTATAAACACATTACATCGGTGCGCTCATAGATCTCATCCATATCCTGTTGTTGTTGTCTCCTTGGTAGTATGGTTAGAATAGTGATGACTCGGCTTTGATACCAAATGACATAGCGAAAGTTTATAAGAAAAAAAATAAATATCGTTGATGAGAAATCTAGATGTCGATCTACTATAACCTCTTGAATTATGCATAATTATAAAAAAAATAGGCTTCAATTCTATTGATTCAAAGAATGCAAAAAATTAGGATAAACTTGAGATACTTTCTCATAAACTTTTATTAATCAAACAAAGCTCTGTTTTTAGCCTCCAAGTCATATATAAGTAGAAAAATTTGACTAAAACCCTAAAGCAATTCAAAAGGAAAACAAATACAAAAAAAAAAAAAAACCCCAAAAATAAGGAAAAAATCCTAAAAGTCAATTTTGAGGGCCTAAATAGTGTTTTTTTTTTTTTTTTGCCAAAATCACCCCTACATCATGGGCATGGCTCATGTGTTTTGCTTGTTGGCCTGTTTGATATCGAACTAGACTAAAAAAATCTCAAAATTGGGTCGATAATATTTTTAGCTTATGTCGTGCTAATTCATGGAGCACCATTCCATGAATATCAAGGGTTGTTGGTCTACATCATGTGGGTTGTCCAAGCTTATTTTAAGTTTTTGTTTTTGGTTTTTCTTTTTTTGGATCAAAAATTGGACGAAGAAGTTTTTCATAAAGTAAAGCTGCTAGATTCATGAAACTTTTTATTAGAGAGTTGACATAAAACTATTATGGAGTATGATATAATAATTTAATCTTTTGGTTTGACATGGCTTTTTGACACTTTATAATATCAATACTAATGAAAACATGGTGATTTACAAATAAATAAGATAATAAACCAAGAGTGTTGTTACTAGGTTGTTAAAGATCACACATACATTCATAAAGAAAATTGCAAAAATGGAAAAGAAATAATAACATAAAATCACCATGATGTTGTTTGGCTATAATGTCCACATTTGAATAAAGAAGAAAATTTAATACACACACACACACACACACACGACACACGACACACGACACACAGACACACACGCACACACACACACACACACACACACACACACACACACACACACACACACACACACACACACATATATATATATAAGAAAATTGAAAAAATGGAAAAGAAATAATAACATAAAATCACCATGATGTTGTTTGGCTATAATGTCCACATTTGAATAAAGAAGAAAATTTAATACATATACATACGTACATACATGCATATATATATTGGAACAATGCATGTTTGGAGAACTCTTACTAATTCCAATTACACATTAAATCTCATATAGCATATTAATGTTTTATATGTCGGAGAAATAAGATACATTATATAAATAACATACCTTTATGGATATAGGACTGAATCACACTGAAAAAAATTCATAGCTTGAAAAAGGCCCTCTATTTTTAGGCTTAGAATACAAACTATACTTTGTAAATTTTATGTGAGACAGTTTTTAGAACTGATTGACGAGACCATTCATAATATAAAAAGTTAGTCTTGTGATTGTAGAAATAACATTCATCTCACCAAGTTGAATAGATTCAAACAATGAGAGGTATGTAAGAAAGAAGCAAACAATACTATTAAAACGCAAGTCGAATGATAGGCGAGATGAGTGAGTCAAAGCCTAAATGAATGAAGCTTTAGATGATGTTTGGTATATAAGCTAGTGAGAGAATTTTGAGAGAGAATTAAAAGAAAGTTTTGAAGTTTTACTATAGAATAAAAAGTTCAAACTCTCTCACAATAATGTGAGATTGATATTTATTGTGAATTGAGGATGCTCCTTAAACCCTAATAACATGTCACGTCATCCACGTTAGGATGGTCGATTTACGTTGAAAAAATTAGTTCTTTTGATTTATATTGCTTTAACTTGCTTATAATGATTAAAGAAAGCAACAATTAGATCTTTGTATTTCGGATCTTGCTCTAAGAAATTAGTCTTTTGAGTTACATTGCTTCGATTTACTCGTAAAGATTACAAAAAAAAGTAGTAATATAATCTTTCTATTTCGGATCTTACTCCAAGACCATCAAATCAAATTTTCTAATACATCTAAAAAACATAACATGCATAATAGTCGTGTTAGAATATCTTTATCCATCATTACACAATTCAAAATTTTGTTACGGACGAGACCTATTATATAGTTTGGATCCATAAAAATAGAGATTAATACATAATAAAATTAGCTAAATTGCTTAATTAATTTTATAAAAAATCGAGCATATACAAATTTCAACATGCGAAATCATATCTTGGTTAGTTGCGATGTGACCATGATGAACTCTTATAAAAGGTGTAGGTATCAACACCAAAGAAAATTATACATATAACTAAAAGAGCTAGGGTCCGTCTACAGTGAAGAGCGAGTACTCAGGTTTTGTTTTTTTTGTTTTTTTTTGTTTTTTTTTCTTCTTCTTCTGCCATTGCTCGATGGGTTGTCCAACGAGCTAAGGCCTTGGCTACCCAACTCGGCGACCTCCCATTTTTTTTTTTCATAGACCCAAGCCTTGTTGCCGGCTTTCTTTTTTTCTTCATATAGATATGGGGCTCATGATTAACAAACATATTTTTAGGTTACAATGGTCATTTTGAAACATTTTTAATTTTTAATTTTATTATAAATTTGTAATGGCTAATAATTTTTTTGATATAATTTTATTTGTTAATAAATTTTTTTCATATAATTTTATTTCTTAATAAATTTGTTTTTTTTAATATATGAATTTTGGGATAAAATTTTACAATGTCAATGTTTTATTTTTTAAAAATATATTATTATAATTTATACAATCAATTATTTTTATATTTTTAATGAGTGTTTTATTTTTTAATATATATATATATATATATATATATATATATATATAGAGAGAGAGAGAGAGAGAGAGAGAGAGAGAGAGAGAGAGAGAGAGAGTCAAAAGTATATTTTAGATAGTTTGACTCATTTTTTTTAAAAATAATGAGTTAAAAAATTCACAAGTTTTATATGTTTTTTTATATATATTTATTCAGAATTTATCATAATCAATTTTGTTGTATTTTTTATTTTAATCTATTGACTTCAATATATTTCTATAATTTAGGTGGATTTTTTTGTATATTTTTCTATTTATTTTCTATACTCTCAATATGCAATATATATATAGTTTTATTACAAATTAACTATATATAGATTCAATTTATATTAATCACAAAAAATAAAACTTGCTACTAGCATTATACCATATGAATTGTTAACCCTATATATGTAACGGTTGCCTATCCACAATATATCGTCGGGACTCTGCTAGTGGATTCTAGAACGGAAAGGGCTTCAATGGAATCCAAACACAGTAGCTAGCTGGAGAGAATATATGAACAGAAAGGGTGAGGTGGTTTGGCAATAGACCAATAAGAAACTTACATCATGCATTTTTTTTATTTTTTATTTTTTGTTCCGCTGCTTGCTTCGTTCCAGGAATAAGAATTTTAGGCCAAAATTTTCCAAGATGATTCCAATTTATCTATAGATTCCAGCTATTACTTACAAGAAGGAAACAAAGAAACTAGTTCCTCTTCTTTTCCAATTCAATTGGACATATATGCTCTTTCTCAATTTTTATTTATCACTTTATCAATGGTATTGTGTAATAATCTTGCAAGGAGATAATATTAATTAAACTCATCAAAATTTGTAGTTGTTTCCGACCTAAATCCTCTTTAAAAGTGGGTTCCATTTCAGTCGGCCTATTTAAAGATTGTCTGGCATCGAAGTTGGCAGGTATCATGGCACATCAAATGATGTATTTTGTTGTAGCAATACATGCCAGCGGGTGCTGCTTTTTTTTTTTTTTTTTTTGGTAGATATCTTCGCAGTTATAAAGTGGCAGAAAGTATGGAGTTTGATTCTTACCCTTACCACTTAAAAGAAACATTTTGTTTTTTGCTTTTTAAAAAGAGGAAAAGCATCCAATTCTTGAGATAAGGTGAAGAGATTTGGTGATGTAAACTGAAGGAAAGAATTTCGTATCCTAATGCACTATGCAGGCATCCATTAATATAAATCGAGTCATGATCATCGTCCTCTTTTCACTCTAAGACTCATGTAGGAGGTAGAGCTAGAGAAATAACGAGAGACAAAGATCATGAGTACAAGCACTCCAACAGCAAGCCCCAACTTCACCACCACTACTCCTCTGCAATGGAACTCACCACTTCCATACGTGTTTGGAGGCCTAGTATTCATCCTCGGACTCATCGCTGTTGCCTTGCTCATCCTTGCTTACTCTCACTACAAGTCATGGCGTGACTTGTCAGACAATATTAGTAAAGAAGACAAGTCCACAGCATGCCCAGATAAACTTACTGATATAGAGCCTAAAATTGTTGTTGTCATGGCTGGAGATTATTACCCCACCTATGTCGCTAAGCCTTCTGCTCCAACTTGCCTTACCCAACTAAACTGACATCCCTTCTGCTCCAACTTGCATTACCCCACCTACGCGGTGTTCGGGGACAAGGGTTTGCAGGTGAAATGTTTTGAAACTTGATTTTGAAAGCCATTATTAGTTACATAGTTGTAAATATTTTTCTCAAATTTAATGGCAAAAGTTATCTTCAAACCACTGGAATTTGGCAATTTCAGACATTTATTACTAATTTGAGTTAATTGAATCTTAAATTGTTTTTTCTTTTTGATAAATATGTTCTTACCTATTATTTTTAATAGCCAAAGAATTGATCGTTAACGGTCAACTATTTAGCTGTTGACTTAAATTTTTTTATATATAATTAACTTAATCAAAAAATGATCTACATAAAAATAAATATTTTATTTTATTTTTAATCTAATTAATTTAAAGATTATGTCAACATGAATTTAACGAAATACTTAATTAAAAAAATTTAGTACTTTTATTTTTTTATTTAAATATATGTACTTTTATTTTTTTATTTGATTATTTGTACTTTTTTTTTAATGAGTTTTATTAATTTTGAAATTTAACGAATAGCTACTATGCAATCTTATATAGACCATATTTTGACTACGTTAACTAAATTTGTTTTAAAAAAGCTAACTGAAATGTTAAAGGTCAAAGGGTTGATTGTTAAAAATAACGACAAAAGCATATATATATATATATATATTGTAATAATCGATACCCGCTAAAATCAAAATTAAATAAAAATTTGATATTAGACACATGTGAGAAATATTTTGAAGGCATAAAATAATCCAAAAGTGGGTGAAAGAATATTTAGAATAGTTAAAATAGTCTTTTTATACTTAATGAATATTTTATTGATTTACGATGCATGAATAGTAACTTTCACATGAAATAATTATTTTGAGCATGTTGTTTGTGCATGAAAAATGTCTTCTTTGCTTAGAATAATTATTAGAGGGGTTTTGAATTATTTTATGTGATTGTGTGAATTTTCTTATGTGTTATGAATATTTTATTTGAATTTTTATGTGTAAGAATAGTGTTTTAGAGGTAGAATAATTAAATTAGGCATCTAAAAGTGTAAGGAATTTTTTTAAAGGCATAGAAAAATCATTTGGGATGTGTAGGAGTGTCTAATAAATTCAAATTAATTTTCCCATGTATAACAAATATTTTTCATAGGAAATAGTGCAATTTTCACACTAAATAATTAATTTGGAGGCCTAATTGAGGGTATAAAAATTACATAAATCATGATTAAATTATTGAAATAAATATTTTAATTTATTCTGGAGATAAATTGAATTTTTGAAAGGTATAGAATAAAAGTTTAGAATTAAGGACCTAATTGCATAAAAATTAGGGACCTAATTGTATAAAATTAAAATTTTGAACTTCTAAATTAAATTATCTATGAACCTAAGGAGTTTAAAATTTGTTAAGATACCTTTAATAGAAGGACCTAAAGTGGTCAATTGAAAAATTAAAGAATGCTTGGATGAGTAATTAGAGAAAAGATTAGTAAAATGAGAGCTTCAAATTAAGGAAATTTTTTGTACACTTCTCCACCTTTCCAGCCGAAATTTTCTGCATGATTAGGGCCTAATTAATGAACTTTGATTCACTTAAAAAGGAAAGGTTAAGAGGGATGCAAAATGCGGGGTTAGGAATTAAAGAAAAATTAAAGGTTAAAAACTTGTCCAATTGAAGGGCTAGGATTAAGAGTTAATTTAAGGACCAATATCACTCCAAAACACAACAATTCAATGGTGGAGATGAAGTCAAAAGTCCACAAAAAATGTGCCTATAAATAGGGATGTAAGGAATTATGAAAAACACATGAAAAATAGCTAAAATCAAGGGAAACTCTTACAAATTTTTCCTAGAAATTTTCACCCAAAAACTACTAAAACCACCTCCAAACACCTTCAATCAGCTAATCAAGCAAGGAAATCAAGTTAGGAGATCAAGAAATCATCAAGGGAAAAATTGGAAGTTAGGCCGAATTTGGGGGAAAGAAGAGGAAGGAAGAATTTTTCAATTATCTTACTTTTTGAAGTTTAATTGGAGCTTATCTAGGTACGTTAACTCTACCAACATTACAAGGATTTTTTAATTAATGTTAATTTGTGGTTATTGTGCTTTAATTTATGAATTTTAGTCTTTAATTGAAAAATTAGGGTTAGGGTTCGGGATGAACTAAAATCGGGGAAATGAGACCGAGCTTATAATTCATGCAATTGAGGTTGAAATATATTAATTAGGCTTGAATTTGAGGTTTACAACTAAAAAATTCCTAGGTTTATTCAAGGGGTACCATTCGGCCAAAATGACTAATTTGGGGGTTTTTGATCCTTACATGTAATTGATGCTCTAGTGTTTGATTATGACTTAATTAAGTATGAATTAGTGTTTATGAATGACAAATCTCACTTTAATTGAAGAAAAATCCATGAATTGCTTAGGGTACCATTCAACGTAATCTTGAACTTTTAGGGTTTGAGTTTTAGTCATTCAATTCATGGTTTGTTGGTCAATTAGCACTTGAATCAGTATAATTTGATGTGTGGAAAGGAAAAATTTGAAAAACAATTGAAGGAAAAATTTAAAAAATTGCTAAATTGGTCTTAGGCCAAATTTTGGCCCATTAAGGCCCAATTCGGGTTTAGGTATAAATTTGTGTCACAAATATAGATTAGATTGGTTCCTATTAACAATGTTTATCTAAACTACTTGGTATTAAAAATGTAGAAGACAATGAGAAGAAATTAGTTGGGTTTTAACTTAGGAAAGTTTCGACCTAATATAAGGGTAATTAGGGTTTAGGTTTTAATTCGTATTTAACGGTTAAATTGGTTAGTTTAATCTTAGAATAAGTTAATAAGATGAATAAGAATGAAAATTTTCATTAGTACATGAAAATTTACTTATATTAATGAAATTAATGTTTAGGGCTAATAAGGGCCCAAAGTGAAAACCATATATATATTTGAGTATTCAATATTTAATTAAGTTAGTTTATGAGTTAGGGTTAAATATAGTAAAATTTGGTGTGAAATGGATGTTAAAGTTGAAAGAAAAAGGTTAGGGTTAAATGGGTGATAATTCAACCTAAGTATAGGAAACTTAGAACCTTAGTTTATTTTGTATAATTATATATCTATTGGGTTTTTGAATGATATGTCATATGTTTGAATAAAGTTTGTCAATACTTGCATTCTATAAAAGTTGATCATTGTATATTTATTTCTCAACATAGTAGTTCCTTTTAAAATGGTTTTCGGTATAACACCTCCAATCTAGGACCTCGTAGGTCGAGAATATTACTATCATTGACCTCTATTCGAAATGCAATGAATGGAAGCTAACAAAGCACTATGTTTTTCCTATGACATCACTAGGTATGGACTACACTATAAAAATCTATAAATGACGTATAAGTCATACGTTTCAATCCAAAATGTACTATAAATTTTTCATATTTTATTATTTTATTTTGAATGCTTGGTTTGAACGAGTTTGGATTTATGATGCTCGATTTTTCCAAATTCTTTTTCGGAGTTTGCCCCATAATTTGTTCTTGTATAGTTTCAATTTTTTTTTATTGATACTCTATATTATTTTTCAACTTGATTAAAACCTTCTATTCTTATAAATTTATTGATTGAGACTCTCGTTATAATACCGTTAACTATTCATCCCATATGACAAGTTAACGGTAGTCAATCAGATAACAACATGTGGCACCATGAGTCTCGACTAATAATATTTTTTTCATAATTAAAAAAAGATTTTAAAATATTTTTAATAATAAAATAATATTTAAAAATTAAAAAACAATAAGAAAAACTATTTTCCCCAACTCCATTATCCCGAGTATCAACGATTTTGCATTCTCAAACCCTCTCTCTCTCATAAAACACTAAAAACTCTAAAATCCCTAAATCCTAAAAATTTCAAAATTCCTTAAAGCTGATTTCAAGAGGTCTAACTAAAGATGTTTCGACTTAGCTACACTTGATTGCTCAAAGATTCCAATCCTAGTACAATAAAGTGAAGTCTTCTTTTCTTCTCCATTTTGTTTTTCTATGTGTTTGTACGGGTCGAAAGCTTTTACAATTAGTTGATCGCCTTCGGCTAACTTATCTTAATAACAAATTCTTAGACCGATTTCTCCTCTAATCTAGCTAAACACACTTTTCTTTTCCGGAGGGAAATAAATAATCCCTTCTTCACCTCTTTTAGAAAACTTAGAGTCATACACTTTTACCCTGCCTAAGAAATGGTTTTTATGATCATTACCATTGTCAAATTTCTTATCGGTAAAAACCTCGATTTCAAGCTCCTCAAATGCCATGTTGTTTGGGTCGGAAAAGATGAACCCGAACATCGCTTTCTCTCTTGGATTGACGTCTCGGTGCTTATAGAGGTTCATTTTCTTTGACCGTCAAAGTCTACAATGACATAGGCACTTGGAGCTTCCCGATCTTCTTTGGGGAGAAGATCATATGCATCAACTATTTCCATTAGTAGTTTCGAATGGTTTTTGGTCGTTCGATCATGGTTTCTCTTTAATTTTATTCTTTTATAGGGAGCAATAAACCAAAAATAGTCATGGGGTTTTGATGGGAAAGTGAAGAAAAGAAAATGGGTTATTTGGTTTGGTTTGATTTGGATTGGATTGGATAGAGAGAGAAGCGATGATAACGGATAGAGAAAAGAAAATGGATGAGGCTAATTTCTTGCCCGGATCAATTGACCTCTTGAAATTGCTTGGATGAATGGGGAGGAAGATGAATAGTGGCGGTCCTCCTACTTATAGTTTTTTAGCTATTTTTGTTTTTATGTTTGGGTGAAGAAGAAAATCCTCATATTTAATATATATATATTTTTAAATTTCTAATAACAACAACGATATTTGAAAATCCTAATTGGGTATCGTTTTTTTTAACTTACCACATAGGATGAATAGTTAGCGGTGTTATAACGGAGGGTCTCAATCAATAAATTTGTAAGAA